ACATGGTCAGCTCCAGGCAGGGAAAACATAGAAACTTAGGAGGCATTTCTCATCTTTGAGAAAGAACAAGTTTTTCGATAAATGAGGCCAACAAAACTGGCTATAATAATAATTACGATATACCAGCATTGACAAATTTTTACAAGTTGAATTTCAAGACAATATGCAGGACTGCAAGAACTGGCCCCATTGTTTTAAAAGACGTACTACAGGAGATATCAAAATGTTTAACCTCCAAAAACTCGAGTTAACATAGTCAGTAAAATATGCAAATATGGAACCCACAGACACAGCAGTCTGACTCTAGACACAAAGGCAAAGAAGAAGCTAGGAGAATCTGTATCAGTCACCAGGTGACCTTACAGGGGACAGAATGAGACTGAGGGTCAGGTATGTGAAGCTGCCTCAACACTCTATAACTTGGTTCTTATCAAGCAGGATATTTTCTCATTCTTCTTCTCTTTCCTTCTCCCACCCCATCTACATCTTTCATGCAAACCAGCCATAATATAAATCTGAAAATAAATAATAAATACTGCTTCGTACCTTTTCAAATTGGCATCCCAAGAACAAATATATCATAAAAGTTTAATCTTTTTTTTAAAGTAAATAAAAAGCAAAAAGAAAGAAAGGAGGAAAAGGAGACTGGTTATCTCAACATTTGGGGGCTAGTGACATCACTCTGTGAGCGACAGACTGCCTGGATTCAGTCTCCAACACCACAAAAAGTAAAAATATACATGGGTACATACTAAGAAAGAGGGTAACAGGCCCACTGTGTACAATACATTTTAATAACATTCTACTCACCAAAATTTAGCCTTTCCTAACCTAAATGCACTAGCACTAAAACTTTCTGCCTAGAACTAATCTCATCAGCAGTACCAAAGTAAAACCTAATTAAGACCAGCAGGAATTACTCATGACAATTGTTCAGGGATAGTAAACATAACCCAGGTCTCAGTTCTCTGGTCCACTGTCCTCTGGCTATAATCACTAGTTCCAAGGGAGTCCAACAGCAGCAATACTTGGGATTCCACTTCCACGCTAAGAAGAAGGACAATTTACTTTTGGCTGGATGTGAATGAAGAACTGTATATTCAAGATTGACGCAAGCCAATCTTGCAACCAGAGAGGTGCCCATCATGAAAATGGCTTCATAGCAGGCAATAAAGCATGGTCAGAAAGATAGTCAAAGCCCAAATGTTTGAAGGCCACCCTGCTTCAGGAAGCAGCTTATAAGAGGCCAACAAATAACTGGCTGTGGCTGAAGTCAGTTTGACTCTGGTTTTTCCACTGAAAATATTCTTGTCAGTAAGAATATTTAATAATTAATACCCGGTAGCCATCTTTTTTTATATTGAACTAGTCATCAAAGTTATGGCTTTCTGCACACTAGACACATGCTCTACCACTGAACTGCATGCCCAGCCAAATCACAAGTCTTGATCTAATTTCTTCAAGTCTGTCCAGAGTTCTTTTCTTTAGCTACCATGATAAACTTCAGTGAACTTCCTTGTGCATATGGGTTTCTTTAACAATTACTTCCATAGGATAAATTTCTAGATAGGAAATTACTAGGTCACAGCAGCTTTTCTGACAATATATCTGGGATCCATGGCTATCACCATCATTATCACAGCCATCTTTATCTCCAGTCTACCCTTTCTCCTGGCTCCTCCCTCATCCACAACCTGTGTTGTAAAACATCCAAGGGAGATACTGTCTTCCATTTTTCACTACCTGTCCTCCAATTCTGTCATTAAGAGGAAATGAATTACCCCACAATCTAAGTTCTACATATCCCATTCTGGTTGGTTTGTTGTTTGTTTCTTGGTTTTTCCAGAAAGGGTTTCTTTGTGTAGCCCTGGCTGTCCTAGAACTCACTTTGTAGACCAGGCTGGCCTCGAACTCACAGAGATCGGCCTGCTTCTCCCTCCCGAGTGCTGCGATTAAAGGGGTGCGACACCATTCTGTAACCAACAGTCCTACTCTTCAAGATTATCTCCCCTAAGAAATTCAACGCCAAGAATCTTTCGGCTCCCATTATAATAATCCATCATCTGTAATCCAATGGTTTTCACGGTCCTCAACCCCTGGGTAGTTTTTACTTTGTTTTTAATTTTTTATTGTAATTTTATTTTTGGAGACAGCATCTCACTCTGCAACCCAGGTCAGCCTGGCTCTCACTATGTTGTCCAGGCTGACCTCACACGTGTACCCCGTTTCAACCTTCCTGAGCGTTGAGAGCAGGCAGGAGGCACCACTCTCATGTACACGTCTTGGTGACCAGCTGGAATTCCAAAGCTTTAACTGCTCCCTTGCACACTCCCTTGGCTTCAGCGCCCTTCTCGGTTCTATTCTCTCCTACAAAACTAACCCTAACTAAAAGAAAGGAAGTTTCTCCCATCCCCTTTGCCTACACAGATGCTGCTGAATTAGTGTATCAGGTAGGAAAAAAAAAAAAAAAAAAACCACTCAAATTGACTGGTCTTCCCTTTAAATCTCCGACTCGAAGGGAGTCATTTGTACTTCCTGGCAATCTACAGTTTTCCCTTTACCTATTTACTATCGTCCCTCCCTATGATAACAATTTCATAACATTTCTCTCTCCGTAAACCTCCTTCCCCATCTTCACCCTCAGGGAGATATATCACAAATTTCTGGGGCCGGGGAAGAGGAAGCAATGAAGTTATTGCTCCATGGTTATAGAGTTCCTCCTTAGAATGAAGAGAAAGTTCTGGAAATAGGGCTAGGGTGTGGCTCAGTAAAAAATATTTAGCTTGAGCAACGTCCAGTATCCAAAAACAAGCAAGAACCCAAAGCAACAACAATGAAAAATATCTTTTAGAAGTAGATAGTGATGATATTTGCACATGAAGAAATAGTTAATATCAATGAATGTACTTAAAATTATTAAGTTGGCTAATTATTATACATATGTGTGCATATTACAATTTTTAAAGTTTGTTGTTGTTGTTTGTTTGTTTGTTTGTTTGTTTTTGGTTTCTTGAAACAGGGTTTCTCTGTGTAGCCCTGGCTGTCCTGGAACTCACTCTGTAGACCAGGCTGGCCTTGAACTCACAGAGATCTGCCTGCCTCTCTGCCTTCCTGAGTGGTGGGATAAGGATTATTCTAATAAAGTTGTTTCTCTGACCGGTCTCCAATAGCTTTCCAACTCTTGAGGATGGTGCACCAAATTTCCAAAACAGTCAACAAATCCTGCACAGACTCTCTGGTCTCCACTAGCAGCCTCGTTTTCTCTGCCTTTAATGGCCCTTCCAGGTTGCTCTTAACTACAAGAAGCCTCCTTCAGGCTATCGCACTTTCTTTTTCCCTGGGATGGCCACAGGTAACCTCTCACTTCCACCACAGTGAGGACTTACTGGAAAACTGTAGCTCCCAGCTCCCACTGGCCTTCACTCCTCTTCCTTTCGTTTTTACTTTGACATACTACACGTGACATTTTGCGTGTCTCTTACCACTAAAATATAAGCTCTAAAAGGATAGGTTTTCCTCCCTGTTTGATTATCTTGTTATCTCCAATGCCTTGAGCAGAGCTCAACAATTATATGCTTAATTCACACAGAACTGGGATGTCATTCCGCAGCAGACAGCTGTCACAAGGAGGTGAGTAGTCCAGGATTCCGTCCTCAGGGCAAGAGGAGAAAGGAGAGAAAGACTAGTATTCTATGACATCAAGTACTCAACTGCCCTGTCCACCCCAGGCTTTGCATACAGTCTCTAACACAAGGTCAGGATGTCATCGCAGAGTAGGCAAGACTATCTTGAGTTCGAGGACAGCCTGGGCTAAAAGTATGAGGGGCTACAAAAAAGAGAAATCATGTCTCAACAAAACGAAAGAAAAATAAAGCCTAACTTATTATAATTTGGGGACTCTGAATTAGCATCCTAAAGATTTTATTGCTCTCCAGGTATTTTACACATCACGTCTATCGAACAAGACAAAAAGCCCATTAAGAACAATGACTTGAACTTTAGAGACCCAATACAATTTGCCCAAGCGTGGAAAGCCAGTTGCTCCCGCTGACTTAGTTAATGTCAGCATCAGCCCTCCTCTGAAAGTCGGACTCTCAGGGCTTAAGAAACCGCAGCTGCAGGCGGAAGGGGCGGGAAAGTCCATTAACTGGCTGGATCAGAGGAGGCCTGTGGCTCCGAGGCCCCTTTCCCGGGGAATCAGAAGGAGAAAGGAGGCAGGTTCGGTTTCTAGGAATCTCCCCCAACACAACCCCAAGGGTCTGCCCAGAGGGCCAGAGGGACACCAAGGGTGCAAGGTGCAAAGCATAGCCCAGGGTTCGCAGAGAGGAGAAGCGAAAGCGTGGAAGACACGTTACCCTGTGAACAGCCAGCTAGATCAACGGGTCTCCTCCTTCAGCAGGATGACTTACGGAGGGCTGAGGACCAAAGCCCACAACCCGGGCACCGGGCGAGGCCCCACATACGCTAACTTTATGCCAGCAGGCGCCCAGGCGCACTCCTGCTCTGGAGACTGCCCTCCCCTGCACTCTGCCCGCGGCCCCGCCCAACTTCCCCCAGCCCCGCCGCCCTCCCACCGCAGCCATCCCGGTAGGGCCGGCGCAGCGCGCCTGCTCAAAGCCGACGGCCGCTGGGCACGCCGGGAAATGTAGTCTCGAAACAGGTGCGGGCGAGCCGCGGGAAGTCAGAGGCTCCCGCCACCTCTCCAGCCGGCTCTCACGCACGCCGGGTCCCCGCGCGTTGGCTGCCGTCAGGGCGCGCCCAGAGGCTGAGCCCGAGCCCCCCCTCTTTCCGCGAGCGCGGCTGGGGAGGCGGGGTCCGCAGCCCGGCCCCGCCGCCGGCAGCTCCCCGCCTCCCTCCCGCCCTCCCCGCGGCGTCGGGCCGGTGCCCGAATCCAGGCAGCGGCCGCAGGAGGCGCGGCGGCGGCGGCGGCGGCGGTGGGCGCCGCAGGCGATGCCCCTGCCCCGCTGCTCCGGCGGGGGGCAGAGCGCGCGGCGGCGGCGGCGCCGGGGAAGGAGGCGGGGGGGCGGCGGCTGCGGCGGAGGGGCCGAGAGCTGGCGGCGGCGGCGGTGGTGGTCGTGAAGGGCATCGGTGGCGGTGACGGAGATGATGTGAGTGTCGGCTGGCTGGGGGACCCCCCCCTGGGGGCTGCCGGGTCGGAGCTGGGCGGCCGGCGGCATGCGGGGAATCGGAACGGGAGGCCCCGGGGCGGCCGAGGGATGCTTGCGTGCGCGCGGTGCGGAGCCGGCCGAGGCCGGAGCGCGAGAGCCGGGCTAGAGTAGGGGGTTCCGGGCGGCGGCGGCGGCGGCGGCGGCGGCGGGGGCAGTGCGGACCCAGGGGCGTCTGCGATTGTTCTCAACACCCCTCCCCCATCCCACCCCGTGTGTCTGTTTGTCACTTGCAGCTGAAGATGGAAAGAGCCAGGCGAAGGGGAGGAGGAGGCGGCGGCGGCGGCGGCGGCGGTGGTGGCGGCGGCCGTGGCCGCGGAGGCAAGAATGTAGGGGGCTCTGGCCTAAGCAAGAGTAGACTCTATCCCCAGGCCCAGCACTCGCACTACCCCCACTACTCCGCGTCAGCCACCCCTAATCAGGCTGGGGGCGCATCCGAAATCCAGGAGCTGGCCTCCAAGCGAGTGGACATCCAGAAAAAGAGGTTTTACCTAGACGTGAAGCAAAGCTCCCGGGGCCGCTTCCTAAAGATAGCTGAAGTCTGGATAGGGAGAGGCCGGCAGGACAATATCAGAAAGAGTAAACTGACCCTCTCCCTGTCAGTGGCCGCAGAGCTGAAGGACTGTCTGGGCGATTTCATCGAACACTATGCCCACCTGGGCCTGAAAGGCCACAGGCAAGAGCATGGCCAGAGCAAAGAGCAAGTCTCCAGGAGGCGGCAGAAGCACTCTGCACCCTCCCCGCCAGTGTCGGTGGGGTCAGAAGAGCATCCTCACAGTGTCCTCAAGACAGACTATATAGAGAGGGACAATAGAAAATACTACCTAGACCTGAAGGAGAATCAGCGAGGTCGCTTCCTAAGGATTAGACAGACCATGATGCGGGGCACTGGCATGATAGGTTATTTTGGCCACAGTTTGGGCCAGGAACAGACTATCGTCCTCCCAGCACAAGGAATGATTGAATTTCGTGATGCCTTGGTTCAGCTGATTGAAGACTATGGCGAAGGAGATATAGAAGAGCGAAGATGTGGAGACAACGACGAGCCACTTGAACTCCCAGAGGGGACCTCTTTCAGAGTGGACAATAAAAGGTTCTACTTTGATGTGGGCTCTAATAAATATGGAATTTTCCTGAAGGTAAGTGAGGTGAGGCCACCTTACCGTAATACTATTACTGTTCCATTCAAAGCTTGGACAAGGTTTGGGGAGAATTTTATCAAGTATGAAGAAGAGATGAGGAAAATTTGCAACAGCCATAAGGAAAAGAGAATGGATGGCAGAAGGGCCAGTGGTGAAGAACAAGAATGCCTCGACTAGCAGGAAATTGAACTCCATCAGGCAAAATTTAAAAATCATTAATTGGCTAAAAGTACTGATCCATAATCATTTGAAGAAGTTTTTCCTCTTTTGGGCCCTTTGTTATTAGTAATACCTCTAATAGTTTATACTTCAAGAAGTCTGATTCTCACGTTATGTTATGCATAGATCACTAGAATTCTCATGGGAATTCTAACCTCCCCAGAGCTAAATAGTTTAGCTGCTTCAGCTGCTCCAGACGATTGAAGTATGCAGATCAGCACAAAGTGTGACATTCTGACCTTTTAAACACCCTAAGATTTACATTGCACTATGACATAATCCTGAAAACGATGCATCTACTTAATATGAAAAGTATGAATTTCTGTTTTAACAAATCCTCCCCCCAAAGAAAGTCCCATTCATACTCCATCAAAAGTTGCCAAGTTGACCTGTAGGACAGTTACCACAGAAATAGAAATTGACCTCAAATATAGTATATTTCTTTATGAAAGTACAAGTAGGAATATATTGTTCATTGGATAACCAAATATTAACTAGTACCACTCTAAAAGAGCAAATATCGTTAGATAATTAAACCTTTAAAAATACAGTATCGTATTCCTAACAGTTACTATATATAGTGTTCTATAATTTCAAATTTTGTGGTAACCCTACAGTTTTCGATGCCGTATCAAAGCCATGGAAGAGTTTTAATTGATTATTCTCTGTTTCCTATAGTACATATTTTATTGACTTTCCAAAGTTTGGGGGATTACGTTTCTGTCACTGTTGAGAGGGAGGCTTCACCCAGTGGCTTTGCTATGGAGATTTTGATGTTTTAGCCTTTTGTGGTAATTTGCAATCGTTTTTTCCTCGAAATCTGTCATGGACTTTCAAAGTGTTGTATTTTACGCCTCCCCTTTCATGTGTTTCATAGGGCTGGCGCACCAGTTGACTGATGTAAAAATACATCTACTAATACATTTTAGTAGCACTTTAGCATTTGCGGCCCTTAAAACCATGTCAAACTTCCAATATAAACCTGATATTGATACAGATACTTTAATTCCAGAAGAAAAAACCTTTTTTTTTTTTCTGAGAAGAAAAAAACAAAACATTTAGAATACAAAATTGCAGTCTGGGAAATAACAATATTTAGAAACAAGATTGATTATAAACATTTAAAAGGAATATTCAGGCAATTTCCAAGGTGCTCCTTAACAATTCTTAAAGAGGTTTACTCTATCCAAGACATACCCATTTGCCTGTATTAAAAATCACTTTTCCAGAAAGTGCCACCTGAACTTTTAAACACTCAAGCAATTTTTTAAAAAGTGGGTATAGAATACACATATACCAACACCCCTTATTAGCTGACTGAAATTTCATCTGTTGGGATACATTGTCTTCTAAATGAAATTGTGTTTTGTCCTGGGATCAGTTACTGCCTCACAGTCAGTCCATATAGTCATGTTTAAGAGGCAGACACTGATCTCAACTCCCCAAATACAGTTCTCATGGGTGAGAGCTGGCTGCGAGGATTGAGGTCAGAATGTGGCTCTTCTCTGACATGCTGTAAGCAATTCAGAATTCATCTGTAACAGTTTTCCCTCCAGAACTTTTCCCCAAACACATTACACTTAGGTCACTTAAAGAAACTATGGAATGAATTAAGAAAATGGATTTCATTGGTTTATGTTACTTAAGAACAAGCAGCTAGTAACCCAGACATACAGGCTGGTGTTGGTTGCAGATTTTATTACACGTTTCTCGAAGTACTATGATGGAATCTCACTCAGTTCATTATCATTGGGAACCTTCTGGATCACTATGGAACAACTGAAGGTTAGAAGATCATGTTAGTACTAAAGTTCATAGCACATGGTGGGTGTCGAGACCATAAAAGTAGCAAGGATTCTTCCGCAGTCCTAACTGTAAAATAACGTAACTATGTAGGCTTGCTAAAAAGTAGTTTTGGGTATATGAAGGAGTGGTGTGCACTTGAATTACTGTACTACTGATTGTTATTGCTGCCCATCATAGTGCCTATTAATAATAATCAACCTGTCAGATTTCGGCGAACTGGAGCTGTGAATATTCCATTATTCAATTGTTCCTATCACTATTGCTGTGAGTGTATGCTCTTTCTGAAAATCTTATCTTCCTTTTTAAAATATTTATATCCATTAGGACTGACTGATTTCTTTTTGGTTTTTAGTCCGATGAGGTTTGAGTGTGTATATACATACGTGCATATATACACATGGTACTGTGTCAGACATGAAGATAAATATATTTAATTCACTGTATATACATATTATTAGCTTCATTTCACATTAATTATTTAAGTAAAGAACTAGTTAAATAGCCAGATTTTCTACCTTGTATGTATACTTCAAAGTTCTTGCCACCTCAAAACTACAGATTGGGTAGATACATATATACTGGCAATTGAACACACTCTAGAATCACTAAGACTCTACCAATCCTTTGTTTGCCTTTACATAGTTAATATATTCATTGAAAAATGGTATGATGATATGATTTTTTTGATACTTAAAAAATTCCCAAGAGTTCATTAGCCATAATTAAGTGTGATCCAGTTCAAACATCTGGATTTAGGATGTGTATTGCCATGTATCTTATAAAATAAGCTATTTTTATCTGTGCAATATAAATTTTATTTATTGTCATTTGTAACATAAATGGAGCTGCAAGTGTACATGGTATTCTTCAAAATAACAGGATCCTTGCCTTGAAGGCATTAAACTCTTAAGGAAACTGGATGTTAGAAGTAAAAAATGAGCATTGAAGTTAGTAACCAAAATTACTAGTTTACTGTATAATGCTAAAACACTGATGATGTTTGCACATAGTAATTGAGCATAATGTGGATGGACTCAAACTGTAATAATATAAGCTAATAGTATAAAATCTGGAAACGGGTTCCTCAGTAGTTGGCAGTGTGCTCCTAGCAGTTGAAAGCAGCACTAATGTGCCACTTATATGCAAAAGATGCAATGTATTATAAAGATATTCAAGTTCTGCCACATTTTATTATTTTCCTTCTTAAAGCCCCAAACTGCCATGTCCCTTAAACTTGAGTCAAACACAAGCTTATTTGCACTAAAGAGCATGGCCAAAAAATTAAATGACAGGGTGGAAGAGCTACTTAGAGCCTATTGAAATAATTGGTTCTAATGGGAGAATTTCACATTTGTCTATTTGAAAGCTATATGGTCCAGGCAGACAATCTGTCAGTTCACTAATTTAATAATGCACTTTACCTTTTGTATATAGAAGATGTACATTGATGCCCCTTGACAGGCAGGATGTGTTTCAGTAACTATGTAGTTAGAATCTGTAGGGTGATCCTTGCATGCACACGTTTGTATTAGAACTCTTGTAACAGGTTTCCATTAAGTCGATGTAATGGAGAAGGACAGAAGATGGGTTTAAAACAATTCTCGGTTCATTTAACGAGGCATTTTAAGGTAGATTTCATATTTGTATTAAGGACTAGAATAATATAAAACTATTCCTAATCCAGATTAGCTTTGTAGTTCAGACTATATCTACTTGAGACTTCCCATAATACTCTAAAAATTCAATTGGGGAATCTGGCCACATAACTTTTTTAATAATTCTGTTTCATTGTTAAAATGTGTTTAAGTTACTAATAAAAAGGCAGTACATGCTACAGCAGTAGAATTAAAAGTATGGTTAGCTTATGTTTTAAAAAAATCACCAGACTAAAGAAATAAAGTTTCAAGTAAGGAATATAAAGAGCTTTATAAGTTGCTAAAGTAAATAGGATATTTCAAAATCTGCAAAAGTATTAACCTTCACCAACTCACAAGGGGACTGGGGGATTTGGTGTATCCTTCTACCCTGAACACATTTGAAGATGTATATTTGAAAACTAGATAACTGTTGCTTAATAATAGGTTGTATGTACTTTACTGAGAAACACTGTGTACTAACAATTCATCAAGAGTGTGCTATATTTATTGCATTCATTTTATATCTATAGATAAGAAGCATTATATATAGTCATCCTATCTTAATATAATCATGTATTTATATTGTAATTTTGCAAATATTTTCAGTAAAATAAACATTTATCTGAGCTGCACAATTTGAAGAGGATGAAATTGGAATATACTCTCAGATAGTCATTTTTAATCAGCAGCTACCATTGAAAACTGATGTATTTATTGTCATTCCTTTACATTTGTTTTATAGTTTATTTAATATTTAAATGAATGAGGCTTAATTTGAATTTTAATTGGTTGTCTGAAAAAATGAGATTTTTATGTACATTTTTTTTCTTGCTTCCTTCCAAGTGTCTTTCACTGAAACCATGAAATCCTCTTCCAAACATTAGGTAAGGGCTTTGGTGAGTCGCCACCTAGTCTGAAATCTGTCTTTACCCAAACATTAAACATCTTCACCAAGATGTTTTGTCAAAAGAAGTTAACATTGGTTCTGTGCCTCCAGAATGGTACAGATTAAAGATCTGTCAGTGCCAGATAAGATTCATTACAATCTTTCTGAAGTTTCCTTAAGGATTTCTTGACTTCCATAGAGAAATTGTGGCTAATGGCTAGCTCATCGAAGGAAATGAATACAGACTTAGCATACCTTGAGACAGTCTGTAGTCTACAGTACTGTAGCACTGGAGTACAGGAAAGATGTCTTTCCCAACTCAATACTGTGTGAAAATTGGGTTTTTTAGATCACAGTAAGCCTAGCATAAAGGAAGTATGGTCAAATATGCATAGGTAGATTTTATGGGAAATTTTACTATTTTCTTGACTAATGAAAAAATCATTCTTTGTTCTTAATATGATGTGACATTTTTTCAATCATTTAAATTTAATAGACAGTTTCAACATTTTTAATAGGGAAAAAATATTCATATAATACCAGGTTTATGGGACTAAGGTTGTAATTCAGTTGATGGAATGTTTGCAGAAAGCCCTGGGTTTGCTTGCCACACCACATGTAACACCAACACTGGTGAGATGAAGGCGGGAGAAACAGAGTTCAAGGTCATCCTCGACTCCATAGCAAGTTTAGAGGACAGCCTGAGCTCCATGAAACCCTGTCTTCTCCAAAATCATAATAATCAGATGCTACAGTAAACTGTGAAAAGTAGCAACTAGCGTTAGCAGTTTCTTGTGTTCCCTCTGGGAGTCACTCATGTGCAAACATGTATATACAGATACTCTTTTTAAATGCGTAAGCATATGCACCTTCCTGTCAGTATCAACTTTAGGGCTGGCATTTAAGGAATTTTTTCCTTTTTACGAAATGTCATGTTTTATTTGGTTAGTATATCATTTAGGTTTTATATTATACAGAAAAGACATCAAGAAAATAGTGTGTAAGTCCATTGGTATCGACTTAGATTACAAATGTCTGTGTTCATTTTTAGGTGTACAGATAAGCAGTTTCACCTTCTAGTCCCCTTCCTTCCTCATACCTAACCAGCTCACCTTCCATATCACCCTATTTTTTTTTTTTTTTTGGTTTTTTCGAGACAGGGTTTCTCTGTGTAGCTTTGCGCCTTTCCTGGAACTCACTTGGTAGTCCAGGCTGGCCTCGAACTCACAGAGATCCGCCTGGCTCTGCCTCCCGAGTGCTGGGATTAAAGGCGTGCGCCACCACCGCCCGGCCCATATCACCCTATTTTTGCCTCTCTCAAAACATATTGCTATTTTCTCCTGAAGTAACACATTAGTTCAGGAGGATCTGGATATTAAATAATATAGCCAAGTGGTGGATGAAGTTAACTATGTTCTCTAGTGGAAAGCACTGATATTTAAAAGCTTTAACAAATTATAGCTTTCGATTTTGACGAACCGCGCCACTGTTTATTCATCCAAAGACCTTGCCATTAAGAGTAAAGAGCATTAGAACTGCAGTGAGTTTATGTTATGACTTTGTTGAAATTGCTTGATTTATTAACATGAAATATTTATCTGTATAATAAGAAAGGTATAAAGTTTATTTAACTGCTCCTCAAATCCAAGTCTACACAAAGAAACAGCACTGTTCCTAATCATTTAAAGCACTAGTTGTTTGTTTCTTGAATTTGTTTTAGGGTGTGTGTGTGTGTGTGTGTGTGTGTGTGTGTGTGTATGTGTGTAATGGGACTGGGGAACTGAGGGCCATGCCAGTGCTGAGCAAGCATTCTGCCACTGATCCACCTTCCCAACTCTGAAAGAGTTGGGCTTTTTTCCCTCCTTGTGTTTTAATAGACCAGAGTCTGTCAGAAATCCTGGGGCTCTGATGATTTGGGAAAAGAGTGTAACTTAGGAAGAGGCTACGAGTGCAGCTATGTCCTGTGCTGGAAGAATATGAAATAGCAAATGTAACTGTTAAAAAGTAAGGTTAGACAAACAAGAAAGTGGCAAGTATTACTATTCCTGAAAATGTAAGCAAAACTACTTTAATAGTTCTCCCACATTCCCTGGTGGGCAGGGGGGGACATAACTCATGTTCGCCAGGTATGCATTGTTGACTACCAAGAAAAGAAAAAGAAAACAAACCCTGAAACATTGGATATTCTGCCCTTGAACCCTTCAGTTTTATAAATGAAAGCAACCAGGGTAAAAGATCTAACATAATTCAAAGTATATCTTAAACATGGATTGAGGGATTCTTTTTTTTTTTAATACCTTACCTATTTTTATTTTATGTGCATTGGTGTTTTGCCTGCATGTATGTCTGTGTGAGGGTGCCAGATTCCCTAGAACTGGAGTTAAAGACAGTTGTGAGCTGCCATGTGTGTGCTGGGAATTGAACCCAGGTCCTCTGGAAGAGCAGTCAGTGCTCTTAACCACGGAGCCATCTCTCCAGCCCCCGAGGGATTCTTTAGATTGGGATCTGTAAACTTTCTGAGAACAAAATTTGAAAATGAAAAGACATGGTTTAAACTTTATAGTAGTATCTGTGTGGTTGGTGGCATGATTTGCTGTTCAAAATGAGAGAGGTGTTCTCAGTAGATACCCTTTTAAACATTTTAAAATCATGAGAGAATTGCACCCTATTTAATGAATAACTCACTATCCTTTTTTGGATCTGTAAAACTGGCCAAGATTTGCATATTGTTTAAACTTTAATGGTGTGTACATATTTCTCTGTATTCATAGAGAATAGACCCCCCCAAAAAGGCAAAAATTCACCTTCAAAACTGAATTGTGTTTAAATTGAGGGCAAATTTTTAATGATTTCCAATTCCTAGTCAAAGTTCTCATGATGGTTTTGGTAAACTGTCCTTCCTAAATTTTACCTTCTTTGTGTCTTCTTTGTGACAATTGTCTGTTTTTATCAAATACTGTGACCCCCGCTGAAGCGCGGTCATCCGTGTGTGGCTGGGAAGGCACTTCCTTACACAAGCATGAGGAAAACGGCTTGTTCAAATAAAAGAGTGTCTCCACTAAGATTGATTCTGACACTCAGTAGCAATGGTGTGTCTTCTTACTTCACCCTCTTATACTTCGTTTTTATAAAGTTTCTGGTTTGGTTTGGTTTTAGTTTTGTTTTGTTTTGTTTTTTAGGAAATAAGATCTTTAAAAAAAAAAGGAACTGACCCTTAAAATTTCTTATAGTATTTAAGTTATTTGAGCTGTTCAAAGGGTAAGTTTGAAGGGTTTGAGAAAGTTTCTCTTCTTAATCTTTATTAAACTAATGGTATAAATCTGACTAATGTAGCTGACTAAAGCCAGAGTTTCTCACATCAGAAAGTACTATAGAGAAAGTGGTTCTGTGGGATAATACCCTTTGGGATTTTATTTATTGTAGATTCTATGAGGTTGCATAAAAGTAGCAAAAAGAAAAGAAATAGGAGGGCAGTAGCTGATGAGTTTTTTTTCTATGACAATAAATCAGTCTGACGTGAATAAGAGAAATAACTTATTCCCAGTCCCTACTTAACCATGAACAGAGGGAGGAACTGAGAAAGTACTAAGACCTGACTCTATAATACATGAAGTGGCCCTGAAGAAATAACGTGACTTCTGTAGGTACATTCTTCATGTGAAAAAGAGACTGTGCTGGGTTCACTCCTAAACTTAAAATCTGCATCTTCGGAGTGTGAAAGAGTCAGTAGGTGAAGGATACCAGCCCTGGAAATTAGACAGAAACCACAGAAGTGTCAGCTCCGTGGCATCTGTGGATCCCCTTAGCCACATAGAGAAAGTCTTGGACCCTTAAGACCACTTGCTGCATTGTCTTCCTCTTTATACTACCCTACTAACTACCTTGTGTTACCCTTTATACTACCCTACTAACTACATTGTCTTCCACTTTATACTACCCTACTAACTACCTTGTCTTACACTTTATACTACCCTACTAACTACATTGTCTTACACTTTATTCTACCCCTACTAACTACATTGTCTTCCACTTTATACTACCCTACTAACTACATTGTCTTACCCTTTATACTACCCTACTAACTACATTGTCTTCCACTTTATACTATCCTACTAACTACATTGTCTTCCACTTTATACTACCCCTACTAACTACATTGTCTTAGCCTTTATACTACCCTACTAACTACATTGTCTTCCTCTTTATACTACCCTACTAACTACATTGTCTTACCCTTTATACTACCCTACTAACTACATTGTCTTCCTTTTTATACTACCCTACTAACTACATTGTCTTACACTTTATTCTACCCCTACTAACTACATTGTCTTCCACTTACTACTGTTGTCTTCTACTTTATCTTTTGAGGGGAACAGTTTTAAATGTGAAGTCTCATTTCTGAAGGAGTGTGGCTTGTTTCTTCTATATATTCTATAATCATCTCTTACATTGGGCATGACAAAGTGATTCTGAAAACCTAGTGTCATCCCAATGCTATTCCTTAAATAATCATAAAATACAATGCTAAGTGGTATGTGGCTAGTGTCGTCATAGTGTCCCAGACAATGAAGTACTGACTTTGAGCCTCTATTCCTTGGCCATATTGAACACTATCCTACAAATATTGATGTTGAACACAAGGAAGAACACTTACCTGGAACAGTATGGATCTGTTACATAGGTTTGTACTTACTAGGGTGTGCTAAGATTAAACATCCTAATGGTTTATTTATTATTTAAGCCTTGACAAAATACGAGGATTGATAAGTGGAGAAGTAGATAGGCTGTGGTCATAGGGGTATTCCTGTAGGCACTCTAGTCCTCCATTGTACAGTGCCACCACCTGCCAAAAAACAACAGCCTATCAAAGACATCATTCATGAGTAACCTACTTGG